GCGGGAGGTCCTTCACTCCCAGGCGGAGTGAGGGACCGTCCGCCGAATTGCCGCCGAATACCTGGAACTGCCGCCCCTGTCCGGAACAGCCGCCCCAAGCACCTGCTTGAGAAGCTGGTGCCTGGAGCCGGCCCTGCGTGATGCAGTCTGTGCTGTTTACACTGATGGAAGCTTGCAGCACCCCCAACCTCCTCTCCCCACAAGGCTTGTGAGACCCTGTTCCAGAGATAGGCCACAATCTTCTTCTGAGCGTTGTCTGGAAAACCAGCTATCATATACACCTATCTTTGCCTCCTTGGACAACAGCAGCATTACCTAGAGTAGCACTGAGCACCCTTCACTCTCTCTGAAGCCAGGCCAACAGTTCCATTTCCTTCAAGAGCAGCAGCCACTAATTTCCCAGCCTAAGGAAAGGCAGAACCCAACTGAGTTTAGATCAAAGAGAAGCAGCATTTGTTGGTAATTTGCAGAATGGAGAGAAGACAGAAATAAACAGGATTTCCGCCTAATGTGGATACTATTGAAGGAGCCTTTAGACCAGTGATACTCAGATCTCAGTGGTTCAGGAGCCAGATTAGCGATCAACATTACCCAGAAGAGCCACACTAGTGTAAATTCATTGTTTCATTTACTACAGTACTATATATTAATATTCAGTATAATTATTCTCACAGCAAAATGACTGACCAAGTAGTATTATTTTATCAACTACAATTGGTTAATAACATAGGAAAAGCATCTTGCTTGGTTAATAACTTAGAGTGGCTAATATTTAAATCACACAGTGTTTTAATCTCATGTACTGCAAAGAGCTGCAGAAGACACATTGAAGAGCCATTTGTGGCTCGTGAGCCACAGTCTGAGTAAAACTACTTTAGACTATCTCTAAACTTTAAGTCACAAGATCTGGATTATATGCAAGGTCATCCGCACTATCAAGTTAGAAAGCTCTCTGGCCTCTGATAGCCTGTGAGATATGCAGCATCATTACAAGGTGTCTCATCTACAGCTGTGCAAATAATGGCTTTTTCAGGTCACTGGCAATTTGGAACAATTAAAAAAATAATTTTTCTATCCAAAAACTAATTTTTTCAACATTTTCAACAAATTCAAAAATTAAAAGGTTTGGGTCAAATTAAATGTTTTGTTTCGATTTGGAGCATTTTGTTTTTAACTTTTTTAATTGTTTAAAATAAATTTGAAGGAAATTTCACAATGAAAAATTGTTTTGAGCTAAAAAATTGAAACCCTGCATTTTGAAAATATCCAAATGAAATGTTTTAAATGTTTTTTCAGAATATTTGTTTGCGGTTTCTTTCCCACAACATGAATTTGTGAAACATTTAGGCATTATGGAAGCTGCACTTTTTTGCCAAAAAAAAAAAAAAGTTTTAGATAAAAATTTTCGCCTATATCTAATCTCATTAGAGAGAAAATCCCTGAGCAGGAAACCCCAGCACATAGTAGTGCTTAGATACCAACATGACTGTTCATGGAGAAATAGGGTGGGAGGTCTTTCTTCTATGTAGTAACATCTTCAGAAACAAGGAAAGATGTTTGTTTCCCTACTGTGTTGTCAAATACACATTCACTTTTATCTCAGTCATTCTCAGCTTCTCTAGCCCCATTTGAAGTTCATAGAACACAGAAAATGCTAACTTGCTTCATGTTCCCAATACAAAATGTGCATTGACTTGCCAGTGAAAGGTGTCTTCAGTGATGGATTTCTCTTTTCCTTTACTGAGTCATTGTTTCTGGCTAAATGAACATTCTGATGTATTCTTCAACTCCATTGTCTTGGAGCATTTTTTCTCATTACATTTCTAACAAGAGGCCTTTTGCGAGTGGAAGGATTCTTGGTTACCTATTCTGGCCCAGCTTCAGCAACATATCAATTACCTCTTCTGTGCTCTGGGGATGTAAGCTGCACACATGTAAGCCTGAGTAAAGGTCTTTGTGTAGGCAGCTGCAAGAACACTGTTGGGATGGAGGAGGAGATAGAGTTCCCCAGCAACCTGCAAACAGGCTTGCTCTAGCTACTGAGCCAGGCTGTAGGCAGAGATAGGGGCCATGACCAGGGGTACCAGAACATGGGGAGTCAGGGGGCCATGATCTCAAAAATACTTTTAAAAGTGGGAGGGCTATGCCCTCCCAATTTTTACCAGCGGTAAGGCCGAGCAACAGGGGAGGGGCAGAGAGGAGCACACAGAATCTTGGGGTGGGGAGGTGGTGTGGAAGCAGGGCCTCAGGGGAAGAGGCAGTGTGAAGGCAGGGCCTCAGGGGAGGGGCAGGGGCTCGGGGGGAAAGGTGGCAGGGCAGGGCCACAGTTCAGGTGCTGGTGCCCCTCCCCCCCACTTTTAGGAAGCTTCCACTGCTCCTAGCCATGACCACTGCAGCCATTGATCCAAGTGTTCACAGACCTGAACCCCACACACCAGAGCCCTTTCCCCCAGCCTGCCCTTAGTTCTGCACTGGGCTATTCTCTCTCCCTACACCTACTCTGCAGCTGCCCATCCTCCATGCAGCAGAACTACAGTGCTGCTATTGATATACTGGGAGACATCTGGGGCACATACTTTGCTGGGTGAATATCATCCCAGAGGAATACAGCATTTGCATTTAAAAAGAAGGCAGAATTATAAAGACAAACGCCTACTAAATATTAGGAACCAGAGAGACAGACATAGTTAATTTTTCCTACTGTAAGTGCTTTGTGTCAGGGACTATTTTGGACTCTGTGGCTAGGTCTACACTACAGCGGGGGGTCGACCTAAGATACGCAACTTCAGCTACGTGAATACCGTAGCTGAAGTTGCGTATTTTAGGTCGACTTATCTGGCTGTGAGGACGGGGGAAAGTCGACCGCTGCCGCGCTGCCGTCGACTCCGCTGCCGCCTCTTGCCGCGGTGGATTTCCGGAGTCGACGGCAGAGCGATCAGGGATCGATTTTATCGCGTCTTCACTAGACGCGATAAGTCGATCCCAGAACATCGATTGCCTGCCGCCGGACCCTCCGGTAAGTGTAGATGTACCCTATGTCTGTACAGCGCCTGGCACAATGGGGCCTCTAGGAGCTACCATAACAAACAATAAACAAAGAGATTTCAACATCAATCCAGAAATGGTGGTGCACAGCATAAGGACGACACATTTTGACAATATAAGCCTGTATTTTCAAGGATGTATTATCTCCAGGGACCCAGCATTGAGGAATTCCTGCAGAAACAACTTAATGTCTTTTTGCAAATACAATGTATTTTATTTCCCCATAAATGTAACACCAAAGAAATGTAAACTAAGGGCAAGCCAGGCTAACCCACTCTGACTCTTCATCCTTCTCAAGTCGGTGGCCCACAGACAGACATTTATAAGTCTGTCGATTACCTCCAAGCTAGTGAAGCTGGTCCTTTAGCTCAACCAGGAGCAGCTCATGCTTTTAGATCAAAAAGTACCAGGTTCCAACCCCTTCAGGGGCATCCATACAAGTTGGTGTCAGAGGCTATACAGAGACACTTGGTCTGTTTGCCATGCTTAATGCCAGCCTGAGTTAATGGCTATGTTCAATTTCAAATACTTGGCGGTCTAGGTGAAGAAAATTCAACAGGCAAACTTAGTATGAGAACAGTCTCTTCCATGCAAGACCCTATTTGGGCACAGACTGGCTAACCTAGTGAGGAGGGCTTTAAACTAGGTTCGACGGGGACAGGTGAGCAAAGCCCACAGGTAAGTGGAGAACATGGAGACCTGGGAGATGGGTCGGAAATGAGAGGGAGTGTGGGCTATATTGGCAGAGAGAAAGGAGGGTCAGGACAAAACTGGGAGGCAAGATCAAACCAGTATCTTAGATGCCTATATAC